AAGCCTCTCCCCCTACACAAGGGGCTATGGAAAGTCGATTGGAGCAGGATTTGGGCCAGGGTCCATAGTAGAGCCTCAAGACTCCTCCTGCTGGGCAGGAACCTTATGCAAGGGGAAGATAGGAACAGGATGTGCTTGGAGGTGTCACATTGACACATTGAGTAAGTGTTTCAGAGCACAGTGTTCTGTCCTGCGGCTTCCACCCAGATGGGGCTTAGTAGTCACCCTGGCCTTCCCAATCCTGAGAGGCTGCTCCCAGCCGTGAAGCCAGTCTCTCAAACGGCTGCTCTTCCAATCCAGATGTCCTCTCTGGACAGACAGCAGGATCCTCACTAAAGCGAGTGCTGTTAGACAAGAGGAATCTATAGGAGTTTAAAGGGGAAGCTCTGGGGTGGTGCCTGTGGCTTAAAAGAGTAGGGTGCCAGCCCCATATGCCGGAGGTGGCAGGTTCAAACCCAGCCCCAGCAAAAAAAAAAAAGAAATTGCAATAAATAAATAAATAAAATAAAGGGGAAATTCTGGTGCCCCAAAGGCTCCAACTAGTCAGAGTTCAGACCTGGGACTAAGGGAAGTGAAAGACTTTCATCTGGGCCGGACTTTGATTTGTTGAAGTCTTTCAACCACTGGCTAGCAGTCACCATGAAGTCAGTGGCAGTGTCCCCTTCACATTTGCATATTAACAAAGCACGTTGTCACCATCATGTCACTTATGTCCAGTTTCCTGTACATTGCTGTTATTTCCATTTCATAATGGAAGATTCTGAGGCCCAGAGGGGAAGTCTCAGGAGGTATGTTGCTTCCATTATGACAGGACAGCTGACTCAGTGCCCCCTCCCCACTGAATTTCTCTTCCCCTTTCCTCCAGGAAGCTAAGGTTTGCCAACTCAAAGCCCCTAAGGCTCCATAGCCTAATGCCCCCACAATAGCTATATGAAGCATTCCTACCCTTGCCTCCACTCCCTAGCCCAGGTGCAGGCTCAGTGGGCCTCACTTCCTCCCAGTAGCAGCCCTGCCCCATTTGGAGTTCCCCCTGTCCAAAGAGGAAGATTGAGCTGTGCCCAGCACCCACTCCCTCGGGCGACTCAGTTCCAGAGTAGCCTGGGGGCTAATTTACCAAACCAATATATGTGCCAGGCCCACACTGGGCATAGAAGCACAGTGTTAATGGAGAAGAGCCAGGCACCTGCCCACTGAGACCCCCTGCAGTGATAGAAGAAGTCCTAGTGGATGGTACTTGACCCTGTTGATAATGGTGTAGGGACAAAGTTAGGGAAAGTTTCTCAAAGGTCTTCTGAGACCTGTCATTGGGAGAGAAATGAATCAGGGACCAAGGTGGGACAAGCCTAATTCAGTCTATGGGATCACTCCCTCACCCTACCAGTCAATGGTTCAAAGGCTATTATTTTATTTTATTATTTTACTATTATTTTATTTTAGAGTCTTTCCCTGTCACCCAGGGAAAGTGCAGTCATAGCCAATGCAGGCTCAAACTCATGGGCTCAAGCAATTCTCCTCCCTCAGCTTCTTAGGACTATTGGTGGGTACAACCAAGCCCAACTTCAGAAGCTTTTTTTTTTTTTTCTGAGGCAGAGTATCACTTTATCGCCCTCTGTAGATTGCCATGGCATCACAACTCACAGCAACCTCCAACTCCTATGCTTAGGCAATTCTCTTGCCCCAGCCTCCTGAGCAGCTGGGACTACAGGCGCCCGCCACAACACCCAGCCATTTATTTGTTGCAATTTGGCCGGAGCCAGGTTTGAACCCACCACTCTTGGTATAGGAGCACCCTACCCACTGAGCCATAGGCGTTGTCCAGCTTCAGAGGCTTTTAAAGTTTATAATTGGAAGAAATGAAACAAACACTCTCTATTTCCCACCCCACTGTCTTGGGCTCTCCTGGAGAGTGTGAAAGACCTGTTCTTTTTCACAGAAGCTCTGGGCAACCAGATGTTACAGGCTGTCTATTGCCCAGCTTAGCCATTTCACATTTTCAGAGCCATGTGGAGCCCTATGGCAACCTCGTCCTTCCTATTCCAAGGTAGCCTGAGTGTTCCTTCAGTGCCACCAGGCTCCTCTGGATCCCACAGTTCCTGAGTGGGCCTGCTCTTGCCTGGATCCTAAGCCTGCCTCTCTTAGTTTACTCCCTTGTTTGGCTGAAGCATACCCTCCAACTTTCTAAGAAAGGATGACTGGGAGGCAATTCCCTGGGTCCTTGTGAGTCTTAAAGGGTTTGTATTCTCCCTTTTCTTTTGACTGATATTTGGGCTCATATTTCTGACTGCTCTGGTTCATTGTCTTCTGGCTGCTATTGATGCTAATCCAGTGCCCTTTTCATTCTTAGAGCTTTGGTTTGGCCTGTGTTTGCTTTTTTTTCTCTGTAGAAGCTTCCAGGCTGTTCTGCCTCTTGTGTCTACAAATGCTGATGAGATCCCTGGGAGCAATCTGTCTTCATTACTGGGATGGACTCTCCCTGGGGTCATGTGACCCCTCATTCGACAGGGCCACCCTCTTCCTAACATCCTTCTTCTAACTGCTCAGATGAATCCAAGCCTGCCCCCTCCTGGCTGGAGGCCTCTCCTCAGCTCATTCACCAACACCTGGGAGATGGAAGGAGGATCAGCAAGCCTAGAAAAAAGAAAAGGAAAAAACTTTTTATCCGTTTTTGTTTGTTTTGAGACAGAGTCTCACTGGGTAGAGTGCAATGGCTTCATAGCTCACAGCAACCTCAAACTCTTGGGCTTGAGCAAGCCTCTTGCGTCAGCCTCCAGAGTTAAGGTGACCAGATTTTAACATTGGTAAAGCAGGACACAATTGATGGCGGGGGCTAGGGTGGGGTGGTGTTCTTAATTTAAAATTTAGTCTAAATGGAGCAACAAAAATTTTCATAGAATGAAAAAATAGTATTGTAATTTTTTTAATTTCAACTAAGTACAATTTACAAATATAATACATTAAAAAATTATGTATAGTATTATTCTTTGGCATATTTCTCATTTGAGTGAATTTTTTTAGTAGACTGCTGTTGTTGTTTAAAAGGTCATGAAATTTTTCACAAGAATTTGTTAAATTATATTTCACACATAAAATGGCTTTTAAAGTCTCAACACTTAATTGTGATTTTTCTTATGTCCACACTTTATTTACAGTAGGGAAAAACGCGTTCAGTTACAGCATTAGTTCCTGGTAAGGACAGCGAGTATCCCACAATTTTTAGTGCATTATTGTATGGAACATGGTTTATTTCAAAACGATGAAATATTTCTAACCATTTGTTCTCTACTGTGATTTTTGCTGATGCCCAAGATTTAACCTTTTCCTTATC